TTTTTAAATTTTAACGTCAACTTTATTAAAGAAGGAAACAGGCCAGCCTAATTCACCTAAGCCCACTTTTAGACCCAATCCCATACTCCAAACCAAAACAGAGCCCAGGTTCCAGACTCTCTAAAAAGCCCAAATCGAATTCTTACGGGGCTCTGGATATGATCGTTGTAACCCCAATCCGGCCCGACCCGTTCCACTCGTTCTTCTACACAAAACCCTAATCTTTTTCCATAAACCCTGAAACCCGTTGTTTTCTCCTCTCTGGAAAACGCAACAAAACCCTTTGTACGCTTCTATTCTCCTAGTCGCCGCCATGGAGATAAGTGAAGCAGCAGCGTGCACGCCGTCCAAAGTGAGCCCGAAAACAGTAGAGAAAGCACTGGGTGCTCTCCTTAAATGGAGAGATTCCAGAAGCAAGGAGCAGAAGCCCCAACTTCTGGAGCAAGATGAGTTCGTCTACCTCATACTCACCCTCAAGAAAATCCCTCAAAACTCCCGCGTAAATGCGCACAAAATTCCCCTCCCTCACCCTCTAATCAACCCAACCCAGGATTTCTCGGAGCTCTGCTTGATCATTGATGATCGGTCCAAGTCCGGCCTCACCAAAGATGATGCTGCGAAGAAAATCAAGGCTGAGAATATACCCATCAGCAAGGTGCTCAAGCTGTCTAAGCTCAAGACCGATTATCGCCCTTTTGAGGCCAAGAGAAAGCTCTGTGATTCGTATGATATGTTTTTTGCGGATAGGAGGATCATCCCTCTTCTCCCTAAGTTATTGGGCAAGCACTTTTTTAAGAAGAAAAAGATTCCAGTGCCATTGGACTTGAAACACAAGAATTGGAAAGAGCAGATTGATAATGTTTGCAGGTCAGCCCTTCTTTACTTCAGTACTGGAACTTGCAGTGTGGTGAAGGTTGGGAGACTGTCCATGGAAAGCAATGAAATTTTGGCCAATGTGATGGCTGCTATTAATGGGATTGCTGAAGTTGTGCCAAGAAAGTGGGCAAACGTCAGGTCTATTCACTTGAAATTGCTTGAGAGCTTGGCACTGCCAGTCTATCAGGCAGTGCCAGATTTGAGATTAAAGATTGAAGCCTATAAGAAAAATGGTGAAGTGGTTGATGGAGCGGCTGCTAAGGATGATGAGGATAAGGATAAGGATAATACTGCGGTTCACGAGAAGAATAAGAAGAAGGGGAGAATCCATGAGGTTAGGTATATGGATAGCAATATTAGTGAGACACTGGATGAGGATGAAATTGGAAGTGATTTTGAAGGGGATGTCAGAGAAGGTGGGGATTTTGAAGGGGACATCAGCGAAGGTGAAGATAGTGAGGATGATGTTAGGAATGCTGACTTTGGAGATAAGAAGAGGAAGAAGGAAGGTCAAATGAAAATTGAAAAAGTGGCCAGGAAGGTAGCTAAGGTCAAGAGAGGTGATGGTGGTATCAAGCAAAAAGGAGAAAAGGATGAACAGGGTGCCAGGCAAATGAAAGGAAAAGACAAGCCTGGAGGGGAGGAGGAGAAGAAAGAGAAGAAAAAGAGTGCAACTAAATTGTTAAAGAGTGGTGAAATGAAGTTGAAGGATAAGAAAAAGAAGAGAATTGCACTGGCAAAATGATTTAACTGAGTAATGTACCGAGTTTTGTGGAGCAATTACACTGCTTGATGGAAACGGAGGCCAGGCCCCGTTATTTATTTCTGTCCTTTGGCTGTCAAATTTTGGTCTGCCTTTTGTTCTGGTACTTTCATTTTAATCCTTATGTTATGTAATGAATATTGAAAAATGTTTCCTTAGCAAGTCAATTGATTATGAAACTTGATCTAGAGAAGCATTATGATAGTTGTTTGTGATGTAGTATTTTCAATATATTAGAGTTTTAAGGTTGAGTTTAGCAAGGTTGTTATTGTTAGTTTGAATCTCAATTCACGATTTTACTTTTGATACTTAATAGATGAACATTAAAGTGTTTACTTTTCATTGATCATTAACAATTAAATATTTGTAAGTCTCCAAGTTAGAGGTGAGAAAAACAATGAAATCGTGGATGTATTATTACCGTGGATTAGTACTTAGATCATTAGGTGCTAAATCATCATGGGTTGTATAACTGGACTTGTACTGAGTTGAAGGGGAGCTTTTAGAGGTTCAAGGAGATGCTGCTTGTGGCTTTGTTAATATTCCACCAATTAGAAAAGTCTTACCAATTTATAGTGAAACATATCCCCACGTATCATAGATGTTTTGAAGTACAAAGTGGTAGAATAGTAAGAGTGTAGAGCTAAGTCATTATAAGGGAGCATTGTTGCTGGTGTTTTGGTTAGCCTACTATTGTTTAGATCACATCTTCATCCTTGAACCCCTAGGTAGAACCTAAAATTTACAAAATTAGAAAGGATATCCAATTCATGAGTGATTTGCTTGTGATTTTACAAGATTCATAACTAAAGTTGAAACAGAATACAACAGCACCAAGATCCATCCTACCATAGACCTCTATTCATGATTGGAACATTCAAAAGTAACATTGTTGAACGTCCAGGTTAGTTTTATTTATAGTAGTTCATAAGAGATTTATGTTAGCATTGATGGGGAATTAAAGCTTAAGACCGTGAATGAAGATAAAGGCTACAAGCTTTCTTGTTGCCTTTTTGATTTTTTCGAAAGTTTAGGCAGTGCAAATCCATGACCCATAAGATTATTTAGTTGTATCGTTGTCTCTAATGGAAGTAAGAACATGTAGCATTTATATTTGTATTGGGTTTTCAATGAACTGCAGCTAAATACGATTACATTGGATTGTAGGGACAGTTTGGCCATGTTCCATTCAGTTTGGATTTCATGCGAGACACTTTTTTGTAGGTATTTCGTAGATATCTAGGGTGGTGAGATGAAGTTGGTAAGTGAGTTTCTAAGATAGGAAACATGAGAGGCTATGTGGAGAGGATGCATCTTGACTTTGAGGAGTAGTTTTGCTGTTTAGAAATCCCACATCCCAATTTGCAGTTTACTATAGCTTATCATCGTTAGTTCAAAAAAAAAAAGAAAAAAAAAAAGAAAAAGGGGATCATTTGGTGGAAGTATTAAGAGCTTCCTTCTTTGATCTTAGTAGTGGTTTACATTTACTCTAACTTCCAAAGACTAGTTCTCCTACGAAGTTAGATAGCAGTAATCAATTTAGTGTTAGTATGGTTCAATTCTATTAAGATTTCTTCCCTCGTACCTTCACTTCAGTTTAAATTCCATTTTCCCTCACTGCACATTTAGGGTTTGTTTGGTTGTATGAATGGCTATTCCTTAATCAAATTATAAAAACAAGTAAAAATTAAGAAACTTTCACAAAAAATTAGAAATAGTTAAGTTTTAACTATTTAACTTTCCTGTTACATTTATAAATAATTAAAGAGTAACTATTCTTTCAGGAAATAAAAAAGAATATATATTTTTCATTCATCTTTTAATTTACTAGAAAATTATTAAAATTAAAGCTTAACTATTTTTATCTTACGAAGGAAGCTTCTTAATTTTGTTTTACATTTTGATTAAGAAATAACGATTATTCTCATTCATTCTGTCTTTCTGCTCGTCTTGGGATATTTATTTTATCGAGCCTGATTTTGTAAGGTGTCCAGGCCCATACAGATTCAAGGTGTGCCAAACCCAGGGAATTGGGAATTTGATCAAATGAAAATATGAAACGGTGGGTAGAGAAACAATTTTTAAATGGGTTTCTTTGACTCCTAGCCTGCTAGACTACTTGTATTGGATTTACTTTGTGCTACACTACTTGGGTTAGATTAGAATCCATATCTAAAAGTAAAAATGAATTTTAATAGAAAAAATAAAAAATTAAATAGAAATAAAGGTTTTTTTAATTCGTATCTTTATTATATAATAAATATATATTTGTCATAAATTTATATTAGAAATAAAAATTAATTTTTAATTTATTAACTATTTAATTAAATTTATTTATTACTAACACTAAATACTAATGTCAAGTTTTACAATGTTTTATATATATTTATAGCAAAAAGTTAATCTTTAAGGACATAGGTTAAAAATCCCTAAATTTAATGGTTTTCCCTTGGTTTGGGGATTGAACCTAATGTATCAGAGTAATGATAAGGAGGACACAAATTTAGAAAAAAAATTTAAAACTAATAACATAATTGTTTACACCTAAAAATAAATAAATGGGATGAGGTCCGTATCAAGTTGAAACTCAATTATTATGGAGAGTTAGTAGGTTGTATTGGGTTGGACTAGCTTAAGGTTTTATGGCCCAAATGGAATTTATGGTGAGCTGGACTTTTGTGGCAAAAGATAAGGTGGTTTTTAGTGGTTGAATTTGGTTTAAATTAGGAATTAAGGGTTTTTAGGAAAAGGTTATTATTAGGGTTTTATTAGAGTTAAAATTGGATTAAAACTATTAGCTGCCAAGCAAAGGAAAACTACCTTCGTTTATGGTGGGAAGAGGACCAAAAACCATGGAGAAAGGTTCCCAACATCGAAGAAAAGGAAAACAGGAGAAAAAAATAGTTCTATATGGCCTGCTTTATAAAAAACTACACGGCATTTAAGCTTTTCCAATTTTTAGACTATTTTTCCAGATTTGAGCACAATTTTTGGATTAGAGTGCAAGATCTACTCTTGTTCATAGTTTTAGTCTAGGTTTTTCTCATCCTTGTTTATATTTTGCCTCAAACATTACAACTTTGGTTAGTTTTTAAGGATTTGGAAATAGATCAGTCTTGAAAACAGGTCTACCCCATTGATTTAGTTGGTTTTCCTTTAACTTATGGATTCATCTTTGTTATTTGTTTATGTAAATAAGTTGAATGCTTTCTGTTTTCTTTTCTTTGTTTTTGCGCAACTGCCAGACTTATAGCTTGTTTAATTTTAATTTCTAAATTAATATTTAATTTTACAAGTTTCTAGACTTTGATTAATTCGTAGAAGTTTTAGCAATCAAGTAGTTCAATTATTTTTCTTTTAAATCTGTGAATAATTAGTTTAATTGTTATGGATCATGAAGTTAGAATCAATGTTCGTAATCCTGCACAGTCTATTGTCTGCAAGTTTATTTCCGTAGCATGTTATTCTCTTTTATTTATTTCATATTAAATTAATTACCTTAGAGTATTGCATTTAATTTAAGATTTATAACTTTTGTTACACTTTAGTGATTTTAAAGTCTTGGAAATGTTACAATTAGTAACCCATTTTGCAGACCTTTACCCTTTATTTTGTAACTTCGTTTGAGGGGTAGTTTATTTCATAGATGTTTTCGTCTAGAAAATCTTATTTTCTTGTTTTTAGACACAACAAGTGACATGCCTTGCTCCTAAACTCAGGTGGTTAGGATTGGCTAAAGATTTTTAAGGAAACAATAATATAAGTTACATTATTAAATTAATTGATATATAATATTATAGGTTTAAAAGAATAAAAAAATTAATTATTAAATATTATAAAATTTATCTTTTAATATTTTAAATAATATGACTTATAATACATTATTAATCTTAAAATTTAATTTTAATTAAATTTTAATCTCATTTATCATTATTTAATAAATCACCTACTTGCTTCATGTTCATAACGAACTTCAGGTCAAGGGAAGATTTTTGTCAGGTTTTCTTCCCAGCCGACGATGATAAGGAACGCGCACGTGATTAAAGAAAGAAACAAAGCACGGCACCATCCATTCCATCCAGACAGGCTGAATGTGATTCAAAGTAGTACGTAAACGCCTGTCGTCATTAACAGGC